GACCCTGCCTCAAAAAAAAAAAAAAAAAAAAAAAAAAAAAACCCTGCAATTTTGTGTATATGACTGTTTATTTTTACGTCAGAAATGTTATCTTGTACTACATTTTTAAATATTTATGTTTCGGTATGTTTCCTTCTGAGTCTCAAGATGCATATGTTGGATTTCCTTCTCTGATTTCCATATCTATCATTTTCTAATTCATTTTAACATTTTCATTAATTTTGGTAAATTCTACCCGCTTTTTCCATTTCTAGACTCTGTCTCTTATTGTATCTTCCACAGTTCTCTATTATCTACGTGATCCTTTCAATCTCATCTTCATTTCAGTAAAGGTTTTATTTTCTAATTTCATTTATTTTTCTTTCCACTCAATCAGCTTACCTTGCATTTTCTCATGCAATCACTCTATTTCTTCCCTGGCCTCTTATATCAACTGCTTTGAGCTGCTAATGAAGTAAATACTTCATTAAGCTTTCTAAACTCATGGCAAAATGTTTGGTCACAATGTTCATCTTCTTTATGGCAATATTTTAGGTTACTGTTCTTCATTTGTCCTTTGTTTTTCTGTTTCTTTCTTCCTTTCTGATTTCCAAACATTTGTGGCAGTCAAGCTTAATGAATTCCTTTTGGTTATTCATCTTTGAAGAAGTGCTGGTTGTACGGAACCTGATATTTGTAGGAGGTTCATGCAGAAGGCCAGAGTGCCTCCAGTTCTGGACTGACAACCTTTTCGTGATTCAGAGATTTACCTAAGAGACAGTTTAGCGTTTTACTTCTCAACAGCCAGTGCAGACAGGCAGTCTGGAGGTTTTTCACAATGCAGTCATCTCCTCCCCAACTGCTGTAGAGATAGACACATATTACTTCCTGCAAAAATGGTTTGTTTATGTGACTCCCCGTTTGGCTTCATTTCCCGGACTTCTTAGAATCAAACTAGGTGCAGGAAAGCTCCTGCCTTGAGCTGAAGAAACCCATTTCACTTTTGTAAACAAGGGGTTCAGGTTTTATACCTCAGGGGGGCCTTGCAGTTTCATGTTTCTTACTGTCTCTGAGCTCCACAGCCATGGCATTCTATCTACTTCTTCCCACATGCAGCCAGCCTGATCGCCACTGCTCCTGGCAACAATTCCATCTATTTTGTGGCTTGGGGTTTTTAACTGTCTTCTAGTTTAGTGGAATGCTGGGTTTGTGTGTCAGTTTTTCCCTCTCTTTGTTGTTTTTAGCTAATTGCCAACAAAGAAAAATGCTAATTTTATAGTACCATCTGCAAATTGCAAATCCAACAATTATCTTAAAAGAGTATTTTATACAAGACGGAAATTTAAGTGTCTCACTAAGTTACTAAAAGGTAACAATACACTTTCCTTACTACTATTTTACTGTGGGGTAAAACACCAATTTTCCATAAAACACTAATTTTCACAAGGTCATTAAGTAATTGTTTTTATTTTAAAAACTCATGTGTGGTCTGGGCGTGGTGGCTCATGCCTGTAATCCTAGCACTTTGGGAGGCTGAGGCAGGTGCATCGTTTGAGGTCAGGAGTTCAAGACCAGCCTGGCCAATATACTGAAACCCCATCTCTACTAAAAATATAAAAATTAGCAAGGCATGGTGGCATGCGCCTGCAATCCCAGCTTCTTGGGAGGCTGAGGCAGGAGCATCACTTGAACCTGGGAGGTGGAGACTGCAGTGAGCTGAGATCATGCACCACTGCACTCCGGCCTGGGCAACACAGAGAGACTCTCGTCTCAAAAAAAAAAAACAAAAACAAAAAAATATATATATACACATATATATACATGCTATTACCTAAGGCAGAAAGTAATCTGATGCTTCAATGTAAAAGATACTTTGTTCAACATATTCAAGATCCAGGGCCTATTTGGGGAACAAATTATATATATTTTCACCAGCATACTATAATCTTAATATTTGTCTTTGCAGAAGACAAAGCCTTTTTAGTAATAAAGACAACCCACGATTTGGCATGCTACTAGTCCCCAAATTCCATTTGAGTTTGTAATGTAGACAGTTAATATTATATGTATGTTCATTCCTTCAGTAAAATTTTAACTTTAGGCAAGTTTATTTTTCTGCCAGTTGCTACTGCTCTCCTCCTGGCTAGCCATTACCAATATGTACTCAGACAGGTTTTGACCAAAATAAGGTTTTACTACTAAGTAATTTTTATAGGAGTAAATAATACACCAGTCTGGGCACAGTGGCTCACACCCATAATCTCAACACTTTGGGAGGCCCAAGGTGGGTGGATCACTTGAGGCCAGGAGTTCAAGACCAGCCTGGCCAACATAGCAAAACCCATCTCTACTAAAAATACAATTAGCCAGGTGTGGTGGTGCATGCCTGTAGTCCTGGCTACTCAGGAAGCTGAGGCACCAGAATCACTTGAACAGAGAGGTAGAGGCTGCAGTGAGTCAAGGTTGTGCCACTTCATTCCAGCCTGAGCAACAGAGCAAGACTCTGTCTCAAAAAAAAAAAAAAATTAATTAAATAATAATAATAAAGCCAAATTACAATGGATTTTGAATTAGTGTTTTAAATGATTCCCTTTCCTATGACACAAATAACAGTAAATCTGTAAATGTTAATATCATGCAAAAGCTAAGTAATGCCTAATTTATTGAAAATTTACAGGCACCATGAGTTCATATGAAGAAAAAGAAACAAACAAACATGAGCTCCTCCTGAGCTGGGCATGGTGGTGCATGGCTGTAGTTCCACCTACTTGGGAGGCTGAGGCAGGAGGATCGCTTGAGCCCAGGAGTCTGAGGCCAGCCTGGGCAACACAGCGAAACACTGCCTCATAAAAAAAGAAAAAAAAAAAAAAGAGCTCTTACTTACAGAATTCCAAACAAGATATGTAGACAGAGTGATGGCATTTTTTAAAAAATCCCCATTTGATAACAATCACAGTTGGAATGACAAGATCATATACTGTCCTTATCACTTGTCACAGGCAAGAATTATCAATGGATGCTACAACAAGAGGGCAAAAGGTGTAAGAAGGAGGATACCTATATAGTCTCAATGTATCTCTCTACAATAAATATATATATTAGTTATGAAGGGAAAAATAATAACTTCACAGAGGAGTAAGCTGGCATATATCACCTTAAGTAACCAAAGTCCCACCACTAGTAAATGGGATAAATAGACACAATGTGCCTCCTGACACTATGCTCTGGAAAACACTTCTGTGGAATTCCTGCCAAAACTGCATAATCTGAATCTAACTGTAAGGACACACCGGACATACACAAATTGAGGGACATTCTACAAAATAATTATTTACTCTTCAAAAATGTCAAGGCCCTGAAAAGGCAAATAAAGACTGATGAATTGTTGATTAAAAGAGGCTGAAGAGGCTCGACACGGTGGCTCAAAGGTGTAATCCCAGTACTTTGGGAGGCTGAGATGGGTAGATCGCTTGAGGTCAGGAGCTCGAGACCAGGCTGGCCAACGTGGCAAACCCTGTCTCTACCAAAAATACAAAGAAAAATTAGCCAGGCGTGGTGGCATGCGCCTGTAGTCCCCGCTACTCAGGTGGTTGAGGCAGGAGGATCACTGGAACCTGGAAAATGGAGGTTGCACTGAGCTGAGATGGTGCCACTGCACTCCAGCCTGAGCGACAGAGCAAGACTCTGTCTCAAAAATAAATTAATTCATTAATTAAATGAAATAAAAGAGACTAAAGAGAAATAACTAAATTCAACATATGATCCTGGACCCAAAACAATTATTTGTCTTTTTCTATATGAGACATTAATGGAACAACTGATAAAATCTGTGAATAGACAATAAAACGTATCTATGTTCATTTAAGAAATACACATTAAAGTATGCAGACATTGAAGACGTCATGTCTACAAACTACTCTCAATTCATTTTTTTTAAAAAAAGAATACTGTGTGTATGTAGAGAGAGAATGATAAAGCAAATGTGACAAACATTAACATTTAGAGTAATTTAATAGGATACACATGAATTATTTGCGCTATTTTTACAAATCTGTGGTCTGAAAGTGTTTCACAATAAAATTTTAAAAATAGACCCACAATAAATGAAAACAAATAAAGGCAGTTAAGAAAAACTCTTTATTTTCCCTGACAATAATGCTAGGATCATCTTTACTATATTCTCCTCATCAGATCATGAAATTTTAAAGCTGGAAAAAAAAGTATTCTCTCTCCCCAAATCCTCCCAATTTACAGATGAAGTTAGTAAGTCAAGTGACTTCATCAAGATTACACATAATTCAAGGCAAAGCCAACCAAGACTATTATCTAGCTCTGACTCAGCTCAGCTACCTTTCAACTATTCCAAGTGGTCTCTTCATCCCTTTACGTTGTCTAGAGTCTAAATACATGATACCAAAATACTTACCTCTATCTTCTCGTATATTCTCATAAGTTAGTATGACTAACCACTTTCAGGCGATCTAAATTTTATCCTTAAAAGGCATTTAAGTATCATTGCTCCTAACAATCCTTAATAACTAGTATCAATACATATGTAAAGATAAGAATACATGTCAAACACTGTAGCAAATGCTGAACATACAAAATTAACACACTCTGTTAGGTCCATAATGACGGAGACCAAGTTTGTTATTCAATATTATAACCCCTCCTCTTAGTAGCAGTCCCTGGCATACAATAAGTATTCAAATATAACTGTTGTATATTACAAAATAAAAGACAATCCAAAGTATAGGAAAGAAATGTGTGTACAGATAATTACATTAGCAGTTTTTATAAAGTGCCATGAGACAACAGATAAGGAAGTTATTTTCTCTTGGTAAGATCTAGAAAAGCTTCAGAGATTTAATGATACCAAAATAAGTCTTGAAGGACAAATAAGATTTCAACAGACATGGAGGCAGTGGGGTGGTGAGAAGAAGGTAGAAGGATTTAGATTAAAAAGGCCAAAGGCAAGAAAATACTGGCCATTTCTATAGAATTTTTAAACACAGGCTTACCTATTGTTGCTGCAAGTTCTGGATCAAATGTATCATCTGTGAACCTCAAGAGCAGGCTGAAAGAGATATTAAGAAGACAGGTTGGGAACTTGAATTTTCTCATCCTATGATAAATGTGTTCATGACTATTTGGTCACACATTATTAGATGCAGATAATAAATGATGTAGGCCTTCTCTTAGAGCAGGTATACACAGAAAAATTAAATTACTAGAGCAGGTATACACAGAAAAATTAAATTACTAGAAAGGCAATTTAAAAATCCCAAGAGCAAAGTAGTTTACTATTAAATATATTCCCCATGGTCTCCTACACAATCCCCCAAGTACAAAAGGTGGGGGTTTTTGTTGTTGTTGTTTTTTAACTGTTCTGGTATGTCCTTCTGAGAAAAATGATACTAGCAGCATGTCATGCTTTAACTGACATAGATGAAAAGGGAAAAAATAAAGTTCCTTAGAATGCAACAAACTAGCTTTTAAAAATCTGATTGTGTAATCCACTCTGAATTCAAGCAAAACCAGAAACATATCAAAGCCGAGCATTCTGTAACACGCAGTATGGTTACTACCTAAGAGAAGATATAGTAAAAAGAGAGGTAAAAAGAAAGATCACACGACAGAGTAGGTAGACTCAGGCAAACACTAGGTAGAGTGTATAAAACCAAGTAGGCAACTGGAGGCTACTGGAGGCTTTTAAAGAAGTTATGACAAGTACTGCTCTTTGTTTTAAAACGTTAATACTAACAAAAAATAGAAGAAAATCAACGGAAGACAACTGCCAAGGTTATGGCAAGAGAGAACGAAGGACTAAACCTAGGAAATGATAAGAAACCAGAAAGGAGGGATAAAAGATAAAGATGCCAAGGGATAAAAAGGGATTAAAAAGCTAAAGATGCCAGATTAGAAGTGTACTCTAAGGTTTTATATCTTCCAGAATTATTTTACTTACTATGAAGCAGAAGTGTCAGTTATTAGAAGCTCTTCAAAAATGAAATCTAAGCTTTTGTTAAAGCCCTTGATTTTAAAGTCATTCAACCTTCCTTCATGTTAACTTCTGAAGTATAAGACTATCCTAATTGACCTGTTTGCATGAATAAAATCAAAGAAACAGCCATCAGGTATCTAAATTATAGAAAAATCTTATGACTTTCTATAGGTTGTGATTATTGCTGGTAGAGGTATGTTTTGTCCATAGAGTTTTTGCAAAATATAATGGCCTCCTGGTAGTTTCCAAACCCACTGTCATTAATTATATTTGAAGGATTAACTCTCCCTTACTGGTTTTGTTTTCTTGTGTTTACCATAAAACCAGCATCACAAAATCAAAGTAAAACAGAAGAGTCAAATTCTAGATTTATCCACCTAACATCTTGACTATATTTACTTACTTGGAACGTAGGTAACAATACTAGTAAGACTCTTAAAAACTACCTATAAAATTTTTCTTTTCTCCCAACATACTCAGTTAACCATAATTTAAGAAAAGATACATAATATCTATATGTGGTCACCACAGAAAATATTACTACAAAAACTTAAGTTAACATTACCTTGTAGACTAGTTGTAATAATATCATAATAATACAATAATGATGATATTGGGTATTATTTACTGAACACATGGCAATGTGCAGACACAAAGTCAGAGGTTTTTCTCTCATAATTGCTAATCCTTTAAAGGCCTTTGTTATTAACAGTACTTCATCAGGAGAGGCAGAGAATTGGCACGGTGTGAAGCAACAAATTTTAATACAGGCTCAGGGTATACATCAGATCTTAGACAGGGGTACCCTGGTAGCCCAAAAAGTATTCTAAATTCTATGTATGTCTTTTTCTAGGCAGAGAGTCCATCTCTCTATTAGACTTTGAAAGGGGAAGAGAGTTCATTTCTCTATTAGATATTGAGAGGAACTGACAATCTCAAAATAATTAAGAAGCACCTTTTTTTTTTTTTTTTTTTTTTTAAGAGATAGGGTCTCACTCTGTCACCCAGGCTGGAATGCAGTAGCACAACTGCAGCTCACTAATCCTCCCACCTTAGACCCCCAAGTAACTGGCACGACAGGTGTGCATCACCACGGCTGGCTACTTTTTTTATTTTTATTTTTTTAGAGACATGGTCTCGTTATGTTGCCCAAGCTGGTCTCGAACTCCTGGCCTCAAGAGATCCTCCTGTCTCAGCCTCCTGAATAGCTAGGATTATAGAATGAGCCACTGCACCTGGCAGAAGCACCATTCTTATAGTATTGTATATTTACACACTCATATTTTCAAAGTTAAAGGAGCAAAATGTTTCCCATGCAGAAGTAGAGATGGAAGGAGTAACTATCACCATGGCACTTTACATGCGACCAAGTTTATAATAAACAGTGTGATTATGACTAATCTGCATTTTTTAAATTTACAAATGAAATTCACCAAAAAAAAAAAAAAAAAACAAAATGGGAAGGCAAGGGGCATAGAAGGGACAGTAATTTAGATAATAGGTCTCTCTAATCCCTTTCAGTTCTCAATACGTTCTGCTACTCTTTCCCTCACCAGGCCTAGCCACAGAATCCTAGTCTTATACATTTAGGGTCTGAGAGGTTTCTATTCCAAACCCCTCACTTTTGAAATGAAGGCCTACAGCATTCAAGTATTACACACAAGGTCACACAAGTGGCAGCCCCAGTTTCATAATCGTGATCTCCTGACTACTATCACATACCCTTTAGACTCTCACACTATGAAATACACTAGAAAGTAATCCACTAATTCGGATTAAATATATCCTTTGTTTACCCCCAACAACACAAGTGCTATCTCACTTCCACTAGCTCCAGCTCTGTAATGAAATAGAAACCAACTTGGTTAAAACAATCCTTTAAGATCATATCCACGACAAACGTTTTTGTACTAATTCACTTTAAAAGGCATAGACTTCTATTTTGGTGGAGTCATTTATTCTCATCTTATCCAGAAACGTAAGTGTTCAAGACTGCTTTCCATAGCATATCACATAGGCAAATAATGTATATCCAGCTAGACAATAATGTATACCCAAATAAGACAACTTTCTCACTATATGTAATCCTTTCACGAAAGAAACAAAGTGTCAAAATCTTGCTGGGAGCAGTTGATAATCCATTGCCACGTATTGAGGAAAAAGTTTAAAACAGATTAGGCCCATGGTAAATGTGTTTCGGTGACATGAACTAGGGAGGCTGATAAATCCACTTAACAGGCCTTACTCTACAAGGAGAACCTTGGTTGGGTGTCATGGCTCGTGTCTGTAATCCCAGGAATTTAGGAGTATGAGGCAGGAGGTTGGCTTGAGCCCGTGTGCTTGAGACCAGCCTGGGCAACATAGGAAAATCCCATCTATGAAAAAAATTTTAGAAGTAGGGCCGGTTGTGGTGGCTCATGCCTATGTTCCTAGCACTTTGGGAGGTCAAGGCAGGAGAATCTGTTGAGCTCAGGAGTTCAAGACCAGCCTGGGCAACACAGTGAGTCCTTCTCTCTATAAAAAATAAAAAACACTAGTCAGGCATGGTGACTTGTGCCTATAGTCCAGCTACCCAGAAGGCTGAGGTGGGAGGATCACTTGAGCCCAGGAGATTGAGACTGCAGTGAGCTATGATCATGCCACTGCACTCCAGTCTGGGTGACAGAACAAGACCCTGTCTCAAAAAAAACAGCTGGTAGAGCAGAGGCGTTTTGTTTATATACTCCAGTTAACCTTCCAGAAAATTTTAACACGCCCTAACTTGTCATCCATGCAATACATTTAGAAAAAGTGCTAACAGACCATGTATTGGGTTGAACTACATGAAATGACAATCAATCATTCTTGACTTCAAAAACACTAATTTCATATGACCGAACTTAAATGAGAACCATGTCTCAAGGAAAAAAAGAGAAAAGAAAAAGAAAGATCACAAGGCTATGAAATTCCTATTAAGACAATGTTTACATTAACTTTTTAACCCTCAAATATGTATGTGCAATAATAGATGATCATGTAAATAATTTTACTCATCCCTTTTACACACACACAGACAAATCATGCTGGTTTGCTAATTCATAGTATTTCATTATTCTATTCCTTGGTACGTGCAAATCCTTCATTCCAGTAGACACAGAGTACATTACATGAGGAACACTATGAAAACGTGTTGTCAAACTGGTGGCTCACGCCAGTAATCCTAGCACTTTGGAAGGCCGAGGTGGGCGGATCACAAGGTCAAGATCGAGACCATAGCCTGGCCAACATGGTGAAAATCCATCTCTACGAAAAGTACAAAAGTTAACTGGGCATAATGGTGCCTGCCTGCAGTCCAAGCTACTGGGGAGGCCGATAGTCCAGAATCGCTTGAACCCAGGAGGCGGAGGCTGCAGTGACCCGAGATGGCGCCACTGCACTCCAGCCTGGCAATAGAGCGAGACTCCGTCTCAATAAATAAATAAATAAATAATATCAGAATATATTACATAAGTTTTCACATTCTGAAGAAGCTTTTAAAAAGTAAGACTTTACGAAGTGACTTTTACAAGTTATTTGAGGAGAGCTTTCATTCTAGCTTGTAGAATGAAGGCTACTTCAATTTATGAAATATAAAAAATCATTTGAAAGATATGTGTATCAGAAGGTATAGCTAAAATATGAAACTGATTACAGCCCCCGGAGTGTAAATGCGGTTTAAGGATCAGGACGGCCTTGAACATAACCTACTCATAATCAGATGGCAAGAATGACATCACCTGGAGAACTCTGTTCCAAGACCTGGATGAAATCACAACCCTCTAGCAACATCCACCTAGATCCATGTCTTACCTTATACTCAACTCCACTGTCAATATTATTTTCCCCAAGGAAAAAAGTCAAAAATGAAAAGACAACACTAATCTTCTGTCTCCATAGGATGTGGGAAAATAAGAACAACTACATTTTATTTTCAAAGGTGACCCACGGCTGAAGCACTCGGACCTTACACTAAAGCGAAATTTTCCAGCAGTCACAAGATCCAGGAGTTCTTCCACAGCCGACTAATAAAAAAGTAAAAGCAGCGACATTAAGCTGCGCCCAAACAGGCCAGGAATGGGACCTAAGGCGTCACGAAACTTCCCGAAGACATTATGTATTTAGAGAAGGCCCCACAGAAACCCTCAAGTGGGAAAGTTATGTCTCCCGGGTCTCGGGGTGACAGGCAGCCTGAACCCCGAAGAGTTCGAGGCAAGGCGCCCCCCGGCCAGATTCGGGCCCAAACCAGCCCGCCACACCCTGAGCTCCGCGCAGCAAACCGGCCGGCGGAGCGGCGGCCCTCCGAATGGTGTTTCCTCGGCGCCACAGGAGGGAGAGCGACCCAGAGAACTTGGGCCTGGCAGAGGCCGGGAACCAGGCGCGCGGGTGGGGCGAGGGGAGGAGAAGCCGCGGGAGAGCGCAGCCCAGAGGCCGAGGAGGGCGCAAGTGGAGCCGGCCCGAGCCCGGCCCGCGCCCGCCGCCGCAGTTTACAGTTCCCGTCGCGGCCCAGGAGACAGCAACCACTGGGACAGAAAGAGCCCAGTCACCCTCGTCACGACCCGCACGCCCGCCTCACCTGGACTTGCCCACCCCACTCTCGCCGATGATGAGGATCTTCAGGGTCGTCAGCACGTCCTCGTCCATCCTGACCCCGCTCCGCTCCGACCCCAGCTGGCAGCCCCGGTGCGCCTCTCAGCCCTTCAGCAGAGTGAGCTCCTGCGCATGCGCATCGCTCCACGGCTGCCACCTTCCTTTCACACCGGGTGTTCAGGCTGCCGAAGCCCTGGACGCCCCAGTTCCGCCTTGAGGTGGCTCCACGGCTGCGCAACCCAGAATCCCCGGCGTTTTTCCGGACTGCGTGTTCCTCCCCTGCGCAAGCGCAGGTGGGGAGAGCTGTGTGTGACTTCGTTGGCTTCTTCATGAGGTCTAGCTCCGCCCCAACCTCAACCCAACCCTCCTGTCGAGTCAGTGGGAGGACTGAGTCAGGAGAGTATCAAGCTGTTTTATTTCAGCGGCTGCTCATAACAGCTGCACTGCGGTGGGTAAAGCACTGTGCTTGAAGCAGATTATCTTAAATTTAGGTCTACCTCTACCTTATATCTGCCTGTCATACTACCCGGCTTTCTGAGCCTTTCTCCGTCTCTGAGAGACACAGTAACACTTCTTAGAACATCTGCTTCTTATTGTTATGAAGGTTAAATGAGTTAACTTGTGAAGATATATTGTTTTTTTGTTTGTTTGTTTTTTTGAGACGGAGTCTCGCTCTGTCGCCCAGGCTGGAGTGCAGTGGCCGGATCTCAGCTCACTGCAAGCTCCGCCTCCCGGGTTTACGCCATTCTCCTGCCTCAGCCTCCGGAGTAGCTGGGACTACAGGCGCCCGCCACCTCGCCCGGCTAGTTTTTTGTATTTTTAGTAGAGATGGGGTTTCACCGTGTTAGCCAGGATGGTCTCGATCTCCTGACCTCGTGATCCACCCATCTCAGCCTCCCAAAGTGCTGGGATTACAGGCTTGAGCCACTGCGCCCGGCGTGAAGACATATTGTTAACCAAAGCGCTCTATAAAAGGTGTGATCAGGTATTAACTTGCTGGCTTCCCCTCTGTTAGAGTGGAGAGCACCCTCCACACCCTAATTCAGGTCAAGTGCATTACTTCTGGCGGTGCAACTTCAAGCCAACTCTTCTCATAAGAACTGCTACACACACACTGCAGAAAGTGTATGTCTACACCTTGCCTCCTGCATTAAGTTGTAAATCTTAGTGAAGACACCAAACCTCATTCATAATACTTAGCACAGTGCCTGGTACATGGCAGGCACTCAATAAACTTCAGTTCTCTTGTCTGATTTCCTTGTACCTGCAGCTAATGTCATATACAATAGCTATTTGATTAAAGACTACATATAAATAAAATTTCAAATGTTAAGAAATTAATTTGTTAAATAGCTGGAAAAGCCCTTTCAAAAGATATCTAAATGGCTTCAGCTCCTTCAGGTCTTTGCTCAACTGTTGCATTCTTCAAGAGGCCTTCCCTGTCCATTCTACTGAAATATGCAAATCCCTCCAGCATTCTCTAGACCTCTTTACATTGTTTTATCTGCATAGGACTTAACCACTCTCTGATACACTATATATTTTACTACTTTATTAGAAGTCTCATGAAGGCAAGGATTTTTTGTTTTGTCTACTGGTATGTCTTCAGTATCTAGAGTACTTCCTGGCACATAATGTGTGCTAAATAAATGTATCCTGAATGAATTAATCGAATGAATGTTGTAGAGTCCATTCCTAACCTTAGAGAATAATGTCAATGAAACAACCTCCCCTTCTCATCAAATAGCCCTTGAAATTTCAATCAAGTCTATCTAGCTTACTTTTCATCACGACAAAAAGACCTTATTTATGAGGTTCACAGTATTGTCAAGCTCTCCTGCCGTGGGGTCCCCAGATCCCTAGAAATTCCTGAAAACCTTTCAGGGGGTTGCAAGATCAAACTATTTTCATAGTTAATATTTTTTATGCACATTCTCTAATGATAATATAATGGAGTTTTCCAGAGGCTATATACTAATAACATGTAATAGCAAAACAGATTGAAGGCAGAACAAGATATGTGAATTTAATGGTTTTCTATTATATTAAGCCAGATATTAAAGGGATTTCCTAAAATGTAAAACATTGCCACTGTTCTCAATTTTTTTGTTTTGGTTATTTTCATAAATATTTCTGTTAACTGGTAATAGGTTTATTATTGTTTTTACGTAAATTAACATGTTTAAAATTTTCTCAGTTTTAATTTCTAGTAGGATAAATAAGAGATGTAATCTCTTTGGGGTTCTTATAATCAAAAGCTCTTTCAGGTCTTCAATAGTTTGTAAGATACACAATAATTTGTACAACCAAAAAGTTTGAGAACCATTGCACGGTACTATTCACACCAAGATAAATACAAAAACAAAAACTTCATCAATAAATCCAGGGCGATCTCTTGCAACCTGTAATACTGTTGACAGACTTTGGCAATATCATTTTCTCTTGGATTTCCTCCATCTCTTGGCCATTTTCTCTCTTTCTTTTACTTTTCTTTTCTTTTCTTTTTTTCTTTTTTTTTTTTTTTTTTAAGAGATGGGATAGTGCTATGCTGCCCAGGGTGGTCTCTAACTTCTGGGCTCAAGAAGTAATCCTCCTATCTCAGCCTTTGAGTAGCTGGAACTGCAGGCATGCATCACCATGCCTAACTAATTTTTTTAAAAGTTTTTTAGAGATGGGGTCTTGCTATGTTGCTGGTCTCAAACTGCTGGGCTCAAGCAATCCCCCTGCCTCAGCCTCCTGAATTACTGGAATTACAGGCATGCACCACCTCTTGGTTATTTCTCGGTTTGGTTTTTTTTCTGTGATCTTCTTGCTCATTTTTTAAACAATTTTGTCTTTAGGATTTTAGCCTGGTTTTATCTTCTTGCTCTACTTACACTGTCCCCGGTTGCCTTCTTGGCTTCTTCATCCCCAGATGTATATCTCTGGCTGAGATTTTTCTCCTGAGGTTCAGGCCAACATACACAACTGCCAAGACATCCCTACATGGGGGCTGGCAATAAACAGATGTATGTAAAAGACATAAGGAATAATTGTCCCATGCTTAGTGAAGGAGAGGGAAAAAAAGGGAAAGAAAAACATCAAACATTTCTCCAAATGTTTCAAGCCTCAGCACCACCAATCCAAGAGAAAACCCAAGATAGAAACAAGAAGGAATATGAGCTTCGTTTCAGCCATAGTGAATTTTATGTAAAGGTGAACCTTGAAGGCAAAATTTTTCAGAACTCTTTTAGAGCAGTGGTTCCAAGATTCAGGGCAGATAGCAAGACACTAAAAAAAATGAACCAAGGAGATGGCATTCCTAACCAACAATTTGGCCTAGGTGTTCTGTTCTATATGGTATTATCCTTACATCCCTGGAAAACAGCCAAATCCTTTCTTAGGTTTCAGACATACCTGACTGCCCTTTCCCCTGTGGATCCATCTTCTAGTATTAATTATTTTTACCATACTCCAAATATATGATCACCTCATAAAGAAATGTCTATGGCAATATTCTTAAGACCTGAAGTTTGGGATGAGCAATGAGCAAGCCCAGTACATAGGAAGAAATTGAAATGGCGATACCACTTGGAGATGTGATGGAGAAGGCCCATCACATGTTGCTGTCAGTAACATTCCTACAGCGGGCAGCCCCAGAGATAGACAACAGATGACAGATAAAAACAGATTCAGGCCATTGACTTTTCTCCACCCTTAGTCAGTAATTGCATCAGTAATGAAGAGAAGAGAAATGCTGCTTGGAGAACTCACATTCTGTGAACAGGTACCAGCATGAGCACTGTGACTCATGGCTTATGTAGGACTGCTTGGGTCCAAGTGTAACAGGCGTCTGTGGCTGCAGTTTAGGAGTTTAGTGAGCGAAGTCATACAGCGTTGCCACCTCCGCCCCCCAGCTCCATTGTCCCTGGCTAAGCTGAGGTTCCAAAACTACCCTCACCCTCTCCAGGTACTGCTTCTCCTTGTGTTGGTTGATATGCACAGGAGCTTTGGTATGCAGTCACGGAAGAGTTTACCTTTTGTTGTTGTTGTTGTTGTTGTTGTTAGAGATAGGGTCTCACTATGTTTCCCAGGCTGGACTCTAAACTCCTGGGCTCAAAAGATCCTCTTTTCTTAGCCACCCAAGTGGTTGGGACTTCAGGCACATTCCACCATACCTAGTTTAAAGAGGAGTTCATTTCATTGTTTAATTATTTGGGTGAAGACTTGGGGATTAGAGAGAGGGGTTAGAAGTAAAGTCTGTGGAAGAGGTAGCTGAAATGTCATTTTGACCACTTGGGTGGGGTTTTAGCCCTGTGATTAGAAGGGTCAGGGTCAAAAGCTGGAGTAGCTGCTTTAGGCTTGCAGGCTGACACAAGCAGCGCTGTCTGAGGGTCCATGGGACAGGATAGCTGGGGCTGAGAAGAAGGTCATTGCACTGTTTTTTCCATTTGACCCCAGACCCTTTTCCAACCTTCTCTGTTACAATCTGTATAATGTCATCACCTTCTACCAAGGAACTTATTTTATAGCAGAAGTGTGGCTGTGGATTCAGGCATGCCCTTGGACTTCACTGGTGTTATCACCAGACCCCACTTCAGGAAGAAGCTACTATGATAGCAAATGGTATGGTCCAATGCCCACTCAGTTAAGGTGCCAGCAGGGAGATAACATTCTGTCAGGTTGCACTGCTGCTCTATAGGATGTAGTAAAAACTTTAAACTTGCAAGCTACAAATGATGCTGTTTTCCTAATAAAATTCAGAGTCGATGAGGAGTATCTGACCTCCTGGGTCTATATTACATGTTCCTCTTATGTGACTCCCTACCCTGACCCCAGCACTCCGTGGGCTATGGTAACACTATTTTCTGCCTTTGCTTCCTCAGATCTAGGGTGGAAAAGGCTGCCTACCGAAGTTAATCTCTGGGTTCCTCTCTTCCTGGTGTCCTAACCTGACCATGCTGCTATAAACAGTCTTTTGGTTTTACTCTATACTCTCTTGAGACATCTGAGTTAGATTTTGTTTCATGCTGGGACCCTGACTAACCATTCTATTCATTTACTCATTGACCTGAGCACCCAAAGTTCACTTCCTTGGAAGAATTAAGAGACAGCACCTTGGGCACAAACAGTGTTTTCAGGAAAGTTACCATCAACAATGATGATGAAACTTTTTTTTTTTTTTTTGAGACAGTCTCCCTCTGTTGCCCAGGCTGCAGTGCAGTGGCGCGATCTTGGCTTACTGCAAGTTCCGCCTCCCGGGTTGACGCCATTCCCCTGCCTCAGCCTCCCAAGTAGCTGGGACTACAGGCGTCCACCACCACGCCCAGCTAAT